TTTTTTTTTTTTAATTCAATGATATTGTCTTCCCCCGAATACAATGCACCCATTGTGGTGATGTATACAAATGCTCTTTTTTTTTTCTTTTTTCTTTTATGAAGAGTCCAGGTTTTCATGCTCTCAACCTTAATGACTGGAGGTATTTTTTCGCTGTCCTTGGCGCGAGACTTTAGCATTGCGAAGTTCAGTTCCCATTCTGCCACATCCTCCAGATTTGCATCCAGAAATTCTTCTAGATCAACAGTACCCTGCCAGCAGCGAGTTATAGAACAAACGGCAAGAACCCCACCATCAGTAAGTTAAATTTAAACCACCAGTACCTTTCCCAGCTATTTTGTCATGACGCGCCGGGTAACACGGGAGGCCAGCAGGGTTCGGTGCTAAGGGACCGAAATGGCTGGCAGCACCAGCCAAAATGAGGCCTGTGCCGGTTCGTTTTTTTTTGGCGTGCGGGACGGTTTTAGGCTCGGCAAACAAAAATATAAAGATGGGGAAAAATGAGAAATAGTGATGTCTAGTACCAGGGGCTGTTCCTACCCCCCCTGCTACTGAGCAAAGGCTGCTTGAAAAAAAAAAGAAAAAAAAAGAGAGAAATAGCTGCTGTACTAAGGGTCTCGCCTCATGGCACACGAAACGAAAATGAAACGAGTGCATCTGGCCACCGAAGGTGGCAAAATACACTCGTTACTATTTATAGCAAACCAATGAACCTGGCCATTTTCTGGGGGACGGTTTCGTTTTTCGGTGCAGCAACGCCCTAAAGCTACTAAAGTGGGTCCATCATCCCATTGAAAAGAAACCAGACTACACACCCTGGTCACAGCCAATTTCCTTTTTTTTTTTTTTTTTTTTTTTTTAAATGTCCGCGGGTTGCTGGTGATGGTGATAAGAGCAGCCATCACTAGCAGCCCGGCTACATGCTCCATTCTATTGGTGGGGAGCTGCACCTGCTGGAAGCCGGGTCCAGCGTCCCTGATACAATTGATCTTGGATCAAAATAGTGTCGAAAGGAGGATAACAATCATAACGGGAATGCAGACTTTCATAGCAGCCAATTTCTTTTCTTTTTTTTCTATTTTCTGAAAACCAGCTGCAGGCAATTAGGGGGGGTGATACAGTAGCAGCCAACTTCAAGAACCTCGGGTGTTCTATTAAACCACCAGTATGTTTCCTAGCCATTTTTTCAGAGCGGCGGCGCACATGCAGCCGCTACTCTTGGGAAGTACAGGGGCGCCGTTTTGCTGGATATCCATCTTTGGCAAAACAGGTCACATTCAAAGCCTATTTTGCCTGGATGGATACCCAGCACAACGGCACCTGGGTACTTGCCGAAAGTTGTGGTTGCATGCAAACTGCAGTACACGTCCCCAGCCTTGTGGAGAAATCTTTCATCGCCTACAAAAAATTCGGAGGCTTGGGGTGCTGGACCACAATGGCTGGCGGCACGACCCAAAAAAGAAAAAAAAAAGTGTGCCACTGGCGGTCCGGAAAATCTTGGCGCGCAGTGGAAGGTCGTCAGGCCTCGGTGTACTGGTGGTTTAAACCACCACCCCACCCCATCCGGACCTATTTTGACAAATCAAAAGTTGCATTTCCCCGAAAATGGATCAAAGGGGCCTAAAACCCAAAGGCAAAAGTGTGTTTTTGTGCAAAATTCACCCTTTTCAGTTTTTCAGGATTTTCAGGGCTGGACACACAATAGGTGAGAGGCGCCGGCGCTGCGCTACCAGGGGAGCAGCGCTGGCGCCAAGCGAGCTATGGAGGAATGCGCGCGGCGAGCGGGTGACACGGTAGTGTACTGGCGCGTGTGAGTTGGCGACCTGGCGTGTGGGCAATGGCGCGCTGACGCGCACCGGGCATGTACGCTGGAGAGCTGATGGGTGTGCGGTGGTCCACGAACACGCAAATGCTGATGAGCAAAGGGACGATGGTGTGACAGCGACGCGCTTCACACACGCGCGGAGAGCTTGAGGTGCTTGTCCAACTCGCGTCACGGGCTGACGTGGTTTTAGACAAGGTCTGGGGGAGAGACATGGACCTTTCTTCCCTGTGTAACTGGCGCATGAAGTAATCCATAGCCGAAGTCTCAACATGAGGCCATAAGGCTCGCGCGATGGGGCATTAGTCAGCATCGGTGGATGAAAGTGGAGCTAACCCTGGGTGACCGAAGTGTGGAGGGGGCGTGCAAGCATTTGATCGTCAGGTGCGGGCAGTTCTTTCGGGAAATCCTTAGCAAAGAAGCAGCTCTTCAAGGGTGTTCTTCAAGGACGTCTTCATCAACGGGCTTGATCTTCTTCAAAGTGTTTCATGTCTCTGCTTTTGCTATGCTTTGCAGGTTCATCATCAAGATCATCAAGACTACCAAGATTGAGTACCAGATCATCATTTTCGTCTTCTCCATGGTCGGCAGCATCGTCTTCACCGCTGCTGCCATCTCGTCAACAGTGCCATGTCATCACCTTTCTCGCCTCTTGTCTTATGATGCCTTCCCTTTTTTTTCTCCGCTGATTCCCGTACTCGATTGCAACATTTTTCCTTTTTTTCTCCCCTCCTGCTTCTCATTTCTTTTCTCCCCATCAATCTTAAGTCTGTGCACTTCGTATTCTGGCGCGGCTTCGCTCGTCATACCCAAGGGGGAGGGATGAAGAGGGGGTCAATGGAGAATGGCGAGAAGAAGTGTGATTGCTAAGAGGGATGGGAAGAGGGGGAGAACCGGAAAAAGGAGGAAAAGGAAAGGGATGAGTAGTTAGGAACTTAGGGTATTTGGAAAACCAGAGGGTATTTGGAAAACCAGTGGACGGGAGGAGGGTGGGGGAGAGTCTTCTCTTCTTACCTTCTTATTATAAATCGTGTTCAGCAAAATAAACATCATTATTAATCATTCCTACTAATTATCCATCGCGCAGTGCGCCATCATCCACAGAGTAGGCTTCTGCTTGCTCTAAATTCAAACTATCCCTAGGGCATTCATGCCAGTTTTTGAATATAGAACTCCTATTCAGAACTCCCGCTAAATCTTCTGTATTGATATTCTGACATTATCATAATCATCTGCAAATACTCGTTATTTCGTAATCTATACTATTATCATCTAACTTTTATTAATCATCATCATTATGGTCATCATCATAATCAGTTTTAGTCTCCCTGGCTTTCCCTCACTGGTTTCTGGTTCAATCCAGTTGAGATGGTAGGTGGGTTAAGGTGGGGTTCTTGAGTCGGTTTCTGAATTTTGTCTAATTCTGAAGTCTGTCGTAGTAATTTCCTAAGTAGCCCCAATTTTTCTTAGCCAAGCCGGGTAATGGCCCCGGTATCTCAACTTTCAAAGTCTATGTAAATTTTCATATGGGACGCTGGGCCCGGTTCCCAGCACGTGCTGCTCCACACGAATAGATTGGAGCCTTGTTGCCATTAAAAAAAAAAAGAAAAAAAAGGTGGGGAGAGCTCTACTTCGCAAGGGCAGCACAAGGAGGGAGGTGCTCGCCTTTTAGGGAGTAAAGGCAGATTCGGGGACTGTTCCAATCTGGGGCTGGAAGTGATGAAAGGGGTCGCATCACCTTCTAAGCGGTGGCAGATTAGGGCAGGGGCAGATAAAGGTGTACCTTTATGGGGAATTGGTAGCCTCGAGGGAGTAAGGAAGGTTGAGGTGTCATTCTCCTGTTGCGGCCGAAACGAGCTGCCCAGTTTTAGTGCAGTTCTACTCAGCGGAGGCACCAGGGGCGTGAAGGGGAGGTAGGGGAGGGAAAGAGGTGGGGAGGAGAGGGGAAGTTGAATCAACTTTAATCAACATTTTCATTAACATTATCGTCTGCTTTTTCACTGGTCTTTTTATTATTGACCTTTTCCTACTTTTTTCTCCTCTAGTTGTTATTCATTGTATACAAGTGAGATGGCAAGCGGGTAGTATGGGGGGAACTGATCTCTATAGGAGCATCACACATCACAAGGCGGGAGGTGATTGCTCTGTAAGGAGTAAAGGTAGAACGTGGGATGTACTAATCTGGAGCTGGATAACATCTAGCGGTGGCAGATTAGAACAGCGGAAAGATCAGAGCATACTTTTGGGGGAATGGCATGCCTCGAGGTAAGCAGGGTTGTAAGTGGGTCTGCTCCTAGTTGGGGCTGAAGAGGACTGCTCCACATCAGGGTGGTTCATTCGGCGGAGGCAACAAGGGGCGGAAAGAAACAGGTAGAAGGAGAGGAGAAAGTAATCACTATCAACCAATCTTCATCATCAAAAGGTATTTTCTGTTTAGGATTTACTGAAATCAGATCCTGGAATGTTAGGTGTCGTTATTGACTTAGCAGTTTCTTGAATGTGCTGTGTTTTTGTAATTGCCCAGTTTGAGTTGATGCCAGAGCGACGCTGGCCAGTGCTGGGACTTGCCCTGTAATCTGCATGAGCAGGAGCTTGAGGCCTTGTAGAGAGATCTGGGGATTGCTGAGGAAGGAAGGCAATTCAGTAACTTGACTGACGGCTACAATTAGGACCGACAAGGGTCGGAGCTGGGGCGGGTAGCGCTGCCCTGTAACTCAGCTAGATTAAGGGTGTGAGACTGGGTAGAGGCTTGATTGGTACATGGCACAGCTCTGTTTAAGGGATTGATAAGATCACCTGAATTTAGGGATAGGATAGAAATTGAATCCTGAATAGAACGATCTTCTGGTTAATCTTCCTAGTTTATAATCCAGTAGTTCATAGCCTTTTGAATCATCCTGAATCTTCTTGAATCAGCCGGAATCATTTGGAATCATCCTCAAATCATCCTGAACCATTATCAAGCATTGTATTCCAATTATAAGAGACGCTGGCCCCCCGGTTCCCAGCACGTGCTGCTCCCGACGAATAGATCGGAGCTTATTGGGGGGAAAAAAAAAAAAAAGGGTTTTCAGGGCTGGCCAAAACAGTCATCTCCAAGACCCCAACGAACACCAAACTTGGCACACGCAGACCTTGACCAAAAATAAAACAGGGCAGAAGAAAAAAAAAAAAAAAAAATTAAAAAAATGCACTTTTCAGTGTTGGGGGTGTTAACCTGCGGCTGAAAAGTAGGGGGGGGGGTCCCTGTTAAACCACTTGTGAAGATCTACAGAGCCACCCTGAGGAGAAGTAATTGTGGTAAAAGGGCCTGGGCACTGTAGATTTCGGCCCAGTACTTGTAGACAAGAAAAATGAACAGCGCAGGGGCCGTTGAGAGGTTACATCTTCGTCCTCCTGAAGCCGGAGCTGTCCATCTTGAGTGACTTCTGGACTGACGCTGCTGCAGCTGAGTTGGTTATGAGAGGCTTTGGTGCAGATATTGATGGTGGGAGGTGGAGATGGTGGTCCGCAGGTCTGGAGGGCTACGGTAGGTGCTGGCTTCCTTCACGAGTGCCATAGCCAGGGATTAGCAGGAGAAGGTTGGAGCGGGGAGGAGATTCCAAATAATAGGCTTGTTGAAGCCTTGTTTGGACTTGTTGACGACGTGGTGGACCCCTCTCTTTCTTTTTCTTTTCCCTTTCTTTTTCTCTTTCTTTTTGAATGTGCCTGTCTGTGAGGTGAAGAGGGGAAGCAGGGAAAGGAGGGCAGGGAATGTAGGTGGGTGACAAGGTGAGCAGGTCCATTCAGATTTGCCAAGTGGGGAGAACCATACAGGTACACCCAGTGCATGGACCAGAGGGCAATGTCCACCAATCCGGGGGTGCACGGGGCTATTCCTCTAGTTTTCAGGTGTGTTGGGGAAGCTACTTACCAAAGCAAGCCATTCCGACATCCTTTTTTGCTCCACCAAAAGTTTTCCAAAAGTGACCTCGGCTCTGTCCCACGGC